CTGGCTGGTGTCTCTTGAGTTTCTGTGCCCCTAGATGGAGGTCCCATGTAGAGGTCTAACAGGGACTTTTGGGTTTCAGGTGGAGATATTAATTGGCAAAGATACTGGGAAACAAGGAATGGTGAACCAGGTCATCCGAGCTCGCAACTGGGTCTTCGTGGAAGGTTTGAATACGGTAAGGGAAGGAGAGGAGGGAGGGAAAAGCCTCAATGTATGTGTTGGCCAGCTGGAATCAGAACTGCTCTACTGTGTGTGTCAACAGGGACTTTTGGGTTTCAGGTGGAGATATTAATTGGCAAAGATACTGGGAAACAAGGAATGGTGAACCAGGTCATCCGAGCTCGCAACTGGGTCTTCGTGGAAGGTTTGAATACGGTAAGGGAAGGAGAGGAGGGAGGGAAAAGCCTCAATGTATGTGTTGGCCAGCTGGAATCAGAACTGCTCTACTGTGTGTGTCATAGCCCCTGTATTGCTAATGGGGATTTTCCTTTGGCTCAGGCAGCAAGGGCTTGGGCTGTCAGTGCAGGAGGATCTGCATTCTATCCTCATTGCTGCTTGGGGATTTCTGAGTGTCTGGTGCATGGTGCCCAAGGACCCCTGAGAATGAATGCAGTGATCCTTTCCCAAGCACTGGGGCAAGTCATTCCCCTCGCTGCGCCTCAGTTTCTCCATCTGTAAGACAGGGATAACCTACACTACCGGGGTGGGCTGTGAGGTTAAATCTGCTTGTAATGTGCTGCAGAAAGGTTATATTTCCCCCCTCTTCTCCAGTAGCCACTGGCGCTAGTGAGAAGTTGCAGTATAAACGGCCACAACCCAGTTCAGTCCCTGCCCTGGCCGGGATGGTCTCCTGGCCTGAGGGACTCGGGTCAGGCCAGTGTGTCCGAGAGAGAGGCGGTGATTTGAACCCAAGCTCTCCGTTTCCAGCATTACTGCTACGTAGGGAAAACCGCCGATAACCCGGGGATGTACATCGCCAGGGAGGCGCCCCTGCTGCTCCGACAGATCTCCCTGGTTGACCCTCAGGACAGGTAAGTGCACCCCAGGGCTCCGGTGGGCTGGCCCGGGGCTTGGCTGGGCCTGCGGGTATCCTTCCAGCCGCCTATGGGAGGCGGGTATCGTGTTCAACCCTCACCGAAGGCGCTGCCTTCAGCCAGGATCTGACCTGATCTGTCAAGCTAAGCAGTGCTAGACCTGGCCAGTTTTTGAATGGGAGACACTCAGGCTACGTCTACACTGGCCCCTTCTCCGGAAGAGGCATGCTAATTTCTAACTTTAGAATAGGGAAATCCGCGGGGGATTTAAATATCCCCCTCAGGATTTAAATAAACATGGCCGCCGCTTTTTTTCCGGCTTGGGGAAAAGCCGGAAAAGAGCGTCCAGACTGACGCGATCCTCTGGAATAAAGCCCTTTTCCGGAGGATCTCTTGCAAGTAGGAATAAGAGATCCTCCGGAAAAGGGCTTTATTCCAGAGGATCGCGTCAGTCTGGACGCTCTTTTCCGGCTTTTCCCCAAGCCGGAAAAAAAGCGGCGGCCATGTTTATTTTAATCCCGCGGGGGATATTTAAATCCCCCGCGGATTTCCCTATTCTAAAGTTAGAAATTAGCATGCCTCTTCCGGAGAAGGGGCCAGTGTAGACGTAGCCTCAGGGTTAGAGTCCAGGTTGCTTTTGGCAGGGCCTTTGTTCTGTGTCTAGACAGCACGGTGGGACGCTGGCCAATAAGGGGCTGGTAGGTGCCACGGTGAGGCAGATAGTCATAAGGAATCAACAGTGGGGAGGGAAGCATCAAGGAATTACAATGCAGAATTGGCTCCAGTGTGGGGCTGGGGGCGGGGGGGGGAGTCAGTAGGGAGGTGATGTGCTATGGGGAGTCTGTGCTGACCCCAGTGGCCCAGCATGGTCCTGTGCTGGAGGAGTTGGGGGGCGGGGTGTCATTCCTCAGGGTCAGTGCTAACTCCAGCACCCTTGTAAGATGCTAGGGGGCGCTGTGCTGTGGCGGGTGAAAGCCTTTTTTTTTCCAAAGACACCAATAAAAACCACCTAGGAGGCTTCTGGCTGCCTTCTCAGCAGCTCCTCTCCCCCCGGGATCTTGTCTGAGCCACTGTCCCCCTGCCCTTCTCCCCCAGGAAGCCCACCGAGGTGCAATGGCGCTACACTGAAGAGGGGGAACGGGTGAGGGTGTCTCTGCGAACCGGCAGGATCATCCCCTTACCCGTCCACCAGCGCCGGGACGGCATCATCCCAGAGCAGTGGAAAGGTGAGCGGGTTTGCCGGGGGCTTCTGCCGCTTGCCCCAGGCAACCGGACACGGCTTTCTGTTGGGAACGGCGGGAAGGTGCCTGGGAGACAGGCCAAGGCATTGGTACTGCCAGAGCCAGCTTTCTCTATGCATCCCGGCTCCAGAGGGCCCCTGGCACGGTGGAAGGAGAGCTCTGTTTGTGGCCCATCCGGTCCTTGGGCTCTCCTAAAGTCTCAGGGTATGTCTACACTACCCTCCTAGTTCGAACTAGGAGGGTAATGTATGCATACCGCACTTGCTAATGAAGCCCGGGATTTGAATTTCCCGGGCTTCATTAGCATAAGCGGGGAGCCGCCATTTTTAAATCCCCGCTGCTTCGAACCCCGTGTAGCGCGGCTACACGGGGCTCGAACTAGGTAGTTCGGACTAGGGTCCTATTCCGAACTACCTAGTTCGAGCCCCGTGTAGCCGCGCTACACGGGGTTCGAAGCAGCGGGGATTTAAAAATGGCGGCTCCCCGCTTATGCTAATGAAGCCCGGGAAATTCAAATCCCGGGCTTCATTAGCAAGTGCGGTATGCATACATTACCCTCCTAGTTCGAACTAGGAGGGTAGTGTAGACATACCCCCAGAGGGGTAGCTGTGTTAGTCTGTAACTTAAAAATTGAGTGGTCCTGCAGCACCGTGGAGACTAACAAAACATTTGATATAGTACCATGAGCTTGCGTGGGCATAACCCACTTCTTCAGGGGACTGGAGTCAGGCACAGAGAGGTACTGAAATCCCCTGGTTCCTGTTTCCGCCGGTGTCTGCAGCATGTGCAGTGCTAGGGGTTGATTCCTGGTCGCTCTAGCCCCGTGAATGGCTCCAAGCTGCCTTCGTGCTCTGAGCTCAAGAGCTGTGCACTGCTCAGGCTTTGGTGTAAGTGAGAGCAGCCACGGAGCTGCTCTAACTTGCAACCTGCTTCCCAGTGCCCAGAGGCTGTTGTGTGGCGATGGTGACGCTTTCCTGCAGGCGCTTCAAGTCTAACGTCAATACCGGGCAAATCAGTCGAAACAACAGTAAAGAATAAAATTGTCAGGCATGTAGAAGAACATAATATGTTGGACAAAAGTCAGCATAGTTTCTGTAGATGGAAATCATGTCTTACTAATCTATTAGAGTTCTTTGAAGGGGTTAACAAACATGTGGACAAGGGGGATCCAGTGGATATAGTGCACTAGATCTCTAGAAATCCTTTGACAAGGTTTGTCACCAAAGACTCTTAAGTATCTTAAGGGGTCATGGGATAAGAGGGAAGGTCCTTTCATGGATTGATAACTGGTTAAAAGAAAGGGGAAAAAAGTAGGAATAAATGGTCAGTTTTCAGAATGGAGAGAAGTAACTAGTGGTGTCTCCCAAGGGTCTGTCCTGGGCCAAATTCTATTTGACTTATTTATAAATGATCTGGAGAAAGGGGTAAACAGTGAGGGTATGTCTACACTACCCCGCTAGTTCGAACTAGCGGGGTAGTGTAGACATACCCCAAAATCATGACGGGTGTGGAAAAGTTATTTACTTGTTCTTAACATCAGAACTTGGGGTCGCTAAATGAAATTAATAGATATCAAGTTTAAAACTAACAAGAGGAAGTTTTTCTTCACACAGCACATGGTTGGCCTGTGGAACTCCTTGCAAGAGGAGATTGTGAAGACCAGGACTTTAACAGGGTTCAAGAAAGAACTAGATAAATTCATGGAGGTTAGGTTCATCAATGTCTACTAGCCAGGATGGGTAGGAATGGTGTCCCTAACCTCTGTCAGAGGCTGGGAATGCATGACGGGAGAGGGATTTACTTGATGATTACCTGTTCTATTCACTCCCTCTGGGACATCTGGCATTGACCACTGTCAGGAGACAGGCTACTGGGCTAGATGGACCTTTGGTCTGACCCAATATGGCCATTCTTATGTTCTTATGTTCATTCTTGATATGCCCATTCCTGAAAAGGTACCTCCCTCAGAATACAAGCTTACCTTTCATTTGTTCAAGTAATACTTAACACCAAAATGTCACTAATTAACAGTGTACATCAACATGCCATTTTGGTGTTATAGTAAAGCCTGGAAATAGCAGTACAGGTTGCACCTTTGAAAACATGCACTCTCTGGTCCGCCAACATCCGTGGTCTGGCAGGACCATGGATGCCTCTGGACCAGAAGGCCCAAGAGCCTAATGGTGGGAAGGCCAGCAGCCTGGCCAGTGCTGGTGGCAGCAGTGTTGGGGCCAGGGCCATAGAAACCTGGCAGCCCACAGCAGTGCAGAGTCAGGGAACATTGGCCACCTGCAGCTGCATGGAGTCAGGGGCTTGGAGATGCCCAGTAGTATGCGGCTGCACAGAGCTGGGGAAACCTGGCCACCCATGGCAGTGTGGGGCCAGGGGCTGGAGAAGCCTGGCAGCATGTGGCAGTGTGGGTCCAGGGAACCTTAGACTTCTGCTGGGAATCAGGCCCGGGCGTTGAATGTGCTAGGGGTAGTGTTTCCTTGAACTGTTTTTGTATTGTGTGTTGCCCCACAGCCTGGGGCCTGGCTCAGAAGTGCCTTGACCACACCCAGGCACTGGGAAGCCAAGAGCCACTTTTGGTCACGTGTCTCTTTGGCCCCGATTCCTCTGACGTTTATTTCCTGTATGGAAAGAGACCGTATAAGCCCACGTAGCTTTTGAGTTTGTGCCTTTGTGATCCCAGCTCGAGCCTGTTCAGCTCCCAAGAGATGGGCCTAATTCGCCCCTGCCCAGCAGGATGTGTCATTGCTGACGCCACCGTGGACCAGCTCAGAACAGGAGCACGCCCCTCCCGAATCAGAGAGCAGGGCTCATTCCTCCTTGCCCTGGGCATGCGGTGGTCCAGTCCGATTCCCCTGAGACATGAGCTGGACTAGAATTTGACTCCTCCCAGTGCTGGGCTGGCCCCACAGGCTAATGGGGATACTTTCTGGCTCCCTTCCCCCACTGCTAGGCTGGCCGCATGGGAGCAAAACCCCTTCTGCCCCACAGCCATCTCTGCCGTGCAGACCTATTGTATCAGCCTGCTAGAGGTGGTGCTGAGATCAGGGTTGTAACCTACCGTCCCCTCTTTCCCCCGGGCAGAGGGGCCAAAGGACACCTCGGTGGATGACTTGCTGGACAGGACCTACCGGCCCTCCCTGAAAACATTTGAAGAAGAAATTATGGAGCTTCAGGGCATCATGGAGACGCGCCGACCTAAGAAGTCCTATTGGTATTAGCCCCTCTGTCGTGGGAGAGACAGGCCGATGCCTATGACCCGTGTGGGCAGCTGCTTCTAGAGTCCCCAGTCGTGGGCTTACTCTGGACAGCAAAGGCCTTGCTGCCCAGCCCAAGGCGATAGCAGTGGCTGCAGACCCCTCTGTTGCCAGCCTGCAATAAAGACGCCTTGACCCCCCCCCCCTTTGTAGGCCAGCCTTGGCCATCTTTCTTTCAGAGCCAAGGGATGTGCATCCCTTCTGTGAGTGCCTGGCCAGAAAGCCACATGGGGCTGCCTGCTTAGAACCGGCTCAGGGTTGTGACTTTGTGTGTTACGGCAGAGTGCAAAGGCTGTGCTCGGGGCTGTACAAACACAGCCCCAAGAGGCACATGGGCCAAAAGGCTTCCCCCCTCGGCCTGGCCAGCGTGGGGGTTCCCTAAGGGCCACGTCTCCCCTGGTGCCAGGAGCCTCCAGCTACACTCCGGTACCTAGTGGCCTCTCCGCCCTGCACAGGCACCAGAGCTGCCTTACACCCAAGGGCCGGCTGCACAGCACCCTGGGGAATTGTCCGCAAGCCCCCTGCTCCCGTCTCAGGGCCCTGGGGCACCCTCCTGCCTTCCATCCCCTGCCCCACCTAACCCAGGAACTGAGCCAGGCTTCCTGCTGCAGAGCCTGAGAGAGTTGTCACCATAGCAGTAACTTTTCCCCCCTGGCTGAATCTGGTGGAGGGCTGGCGAGCTCCAGGGAGCCCTAATTCAGCTACAGTTGAGGTGGGTCTGTTTGGCCCAGCCTCTGGGTACAGGGGAAGGAAGCCTGGCCTGGGGGTTGCCAGCTTGGGATCAGATCCCATCTCTGCAACAGCCTGTATAGGTGACCTTAGGAGAATCACTTAGCCCTGCTTCCACTCTGTCCAGGAGATAATACCAGAGGGGTGAGCACCTCCCAAGCTGGGATGTAACAAGCAGGGGTAGTTTACAGCATAGCCCAGCCCCTGTGTGCTGCACAGACCCGTGTCAGTCGAGGCCAGTCCTTGGAGAGTTTACGGTCCATGTAGACAAGGCAGGGAGAAAGGGGGCAGCGACGGACAAGGCCAACCCAGCAGTATGCCCCACTGCTCTTGGGGGGTTGTTTATTGTGGGTGAGTGGGTCAGCTGAAGGGGGAGGGGAGATATGCAAGGCCAGGAACAGGGAGGGGGCACTTAGAGGTGCAGCAGCTGCTGCCTGTTGTCCGTCAGTCCCTGCTGGACTTTTGCTGGGGCTGGCCCACAGCTGCCACGTGGCTCAGAACTCCAGGAAGTGGGGGTGGTCCTGGAGGTCCATGTTGTCTCTTTCCCCATGTGCAACTGCTGCAGAACTTTGTGAGGCCGCGGTAGCCACCTGGGCATAGCCCTGGCCTTCCCCAATCCTGCGTCTTACGAGCGCCTCCTCTCCTAAAGGACTGCCACGTTCCCCCTCAGAGGCGGCTGCCGCAGGTGATTCCTGAGCACCAATGGAGGCTGATCCGTGTCAGTCTTCCCCTGCCAGCCTGGCTAACGCAGAGTCCAGCCCCGCCTTGGCCGCCACCAGCACTAGGTTCCGGGGCGAGAACTTCGGGCTAAATAAGGGAATCAACTTGCACTGGAAGCCTGCAGGGGAAGAGCAGGAGCGGGGGCAGAGTGGTTCACGTGAGGGCGGCCCGTCACCGTGGAGGGAGTTCTTACCAGCCTGGCTGCTTGTTTGAAAGAATAATTTGCCCCAACCACAGGTGCTAGCCTGGCGGTGGCTGTAGAGACAGGAATGCATGTGCTTTCTCGCCAGGTGAACAGAAGGCTGGTAACAGTGGTCTCGCCAGCCTCCTAAGCAGGGAGGTGGACGGGCGGCCTTGCGAACCCGCTAAGGGGGAGGCCTTGCTCGCCCAGTGAGGAGTGAGCGGAGTACTGAGGCCGGGGGCTCTGTGGATTAGAAAGGGCTGCTGGCAAGGGGCAATGAAGTGGAAAACACCAGCATGCTGCATCCAGGGTCTCAGGGACGAACATGCTTGTCCGCGGCAGGTGGCGGGTTAAAATCCCCCCCCTCCCCCCAACCTCACAGCCAAATGGCTACAAGGAGCAGCTCAGGGGAAGTACCAATGAGCACAGCCCCTCCAGTGTGAAGGAGCGGGGTGCTTCTGCCCAGGCTAGGGAGGGGGCCGGATCTGTCTGAGCCACTCACCTTGCTCCTGCAAGTAGATCATCCTATCCAGCAGGATGAGGGTCTCCACCAGCGGCGCCAGCAGCAGTGCCAGGCTGAAGAAGACCACCACGTTCTGTTGCTGGGCCAGCATGGCCTCCACGCAGGCCTGGTCCAGAGGGGTGAGGGGGTCCAGCCCCACGCGCTGCAAGCCCAGCCGGGCGTACCTGCCAAGGCGAAGCAGCACGGCCCCATCAGTTCTGCTCCTGGCCACCCGCCCCAGGGCGACTCAGCCCAAGCTCCCGGCCCCCTTTCCCCCATGGGCCTTGCTCGCAGGCCCAGCCTTTAGCCACCAAACTGCACTCCCATCCCCGTGCAGGGAACAGGAGCCAGCAGCCCTAGCTGCCCACCACCTCGCTTGAACTCCTAGTTAATGCAGCCGCCCAATATACTGCTCAGGTAGCTACATTTTTGGGCCTTGGTAGTTAGAGGCAACAGGGGTAGCAGACTGCCCATGTGCCCGGAGCCCAATAACCAAGTTACCCTCAGCTTAGCCAGGGGGGAGGCAATGACTCCACCATGCCTCAGTTTCCCCGTGTGTGAAAAGTGGAGAATCCTGCAACTAGCAGTGAGTCGGGTGCTAGAAATCGGGGCAGGGCCCTCACTCGTTTCCACCTCAGTTCTGTATCCAAACAGCCCCTGAGCTGGGGGGAGGGAGGAGATTCCTCAGTTGGATCAGCGCTCCCATCTCCAATAGGGAGTCAGCCCCGGAGTCCCATATCTTGGGATGTCGCGCTCCATGTGAGGAGCAGGACAGGGTGAGGGCTGGCGTTGCAAAGTGGCCTGACTCACTCCTCGAAGGGCAGCTGGTGGGCCTTGTTGATGGTCTGCACGCCAAGGCGTCTCTTTGCCGGGTCGGCTGCCCGGATCAGCGCCTCCAGCACGGCGCGGTAACAGTGGGTCCGCAGGATGGGGCTGTTGCTCCTCTGCTG